GCTCAGCTCCCTCCTCTCCTTGAAACCCTGCCCTCCCCGGGCTCCACCCCAAATCTCCAGGTATTTATTTCCCAACCCGGAGTTGCCAACCCTACAATGACACAGCACAACACATGCCTGGCCGGTGGTGCCAGAGATAAACAAATGCAAGAAGTGGACTGCCATGCAGGAGATCAGCAACTGTGCCCAGATGGAGTTTTGAAAGAGGCACAGTCAGGGGTCATTTCCTGCGGGAGCACACAGGAGCGGAGATCTGGCAGTAAAGAGCCCAGGGGGTGGGCACATGCAACAAGCCCCACCCCCTACTCCCAGCAGCCCTCAGTCAAAGCAAGAAGCAGCCAGGTAAGTTGCAGAGCTCCCCCCCGCCCCCCCATCCAAAACAGTCCAGTGGCACCTTTAAGACCAAGTTTTATTCAGGTACATGGTCTCCTTCCTCTGCGAGGACAGATCTACACGTCCCCCGTCCCCCCCCCAATAGCTAGCAATCCAAAACAGTCCAGTGGAGCCTGAGCAGTGGGTGTTGCCTTCTGACGCACTTCCAGTGATCAGGGTGTGTGGAATATGCAAATAAGTTATGCTAATGAGCTATGCAAATGAGCTCCTGCACCTCTTTTTCTATGAAATGACCCCTGGGCACAGTCATTTCTTCTTTCTTCATAGTTTACATTATATTTGACATGTTGGTAAAACAACAAAACAGAGCCAGGAGGTAACATCAGGGGAAGGCCTCGGCCTCTCTGCCCTGTTGCTGGCCCTCCAGAGGAACTGGCTGGCCCCTGTGTGGGACAGGATGCTGGACTAGAGGGACCCCCACTGGTCTGACCCAGCAGGGTTCTTCTGATGTTCTTAAAACCATAGAGTTAAAAATTAGGTATTTTAAAAAATGAGCTAGCAGGACTCTGGCCCCGTTCACATGGCGAATTTGCCGCGGGAGAGCCACAAATGTTGGGCAGAGTTTCCGGGAGCGATCACACCGCAACATCTGGTGGGTGCAGCGCACCCGTGGCCAACCCGTGGAGTGCCGCCGAAAATGCATGGTAAAAAAATACCTGGTCGAAAGTACTGGCAAATGGTTTGCCACAGGCTGCCGACGGACTCCGTCCGTCCATGTGATCACGCCACCACGGCTTTTCCCCTCCGGCCGTCTTCGGTGAAGTGCACGTACCGAGGGACGGAACCGTTGTTTGCTGCCAACGTGTCTGACCATGTTGTTGCGGGTCTAATTGTGCCGCTGCAAATAGCCACACCTCCCCCCGCGTTTTCCGGCACGTGTGACTGGGGCCTATATCTAGAAAACCAGTCATTTGAAAAACCAAGAAGAAGTTGTAACACTGAGTACTTGCCAGACCCCCGTTTATCTAAATGGTGATGGAAGGGGGGAACCAGCAACAAAAAACCTAAGAAATCCACCATTCCTGATAATTAAATTTGTAGCATTTCTTGTGTGCAAAACTAAACTGAGCTTAACCCAGGCTTGCATGTGTGCTGTTGCCTTGACCTAGATCAGGAACCTGAGCCTCATGGTGACTGAGCTGGAATCCCTGGATAAGAATAACATCCTGGCAATCCGCCGAGAAGTTGTGACTCTCCGGAATAAACTGAGGGATTGCGAAAGGGACCGAAACTATACCAGCAGCAGTGGCGGCAGCAGCATTCCCCACTTCCCACCTGGTAAGTGATAGCCCTGTTCGTGACATAAAAAATGAACAAGAGAGTACATTTCCTTTCTTAAAGGGCATGCCAAGTAATGAGAGCTGGTGCAACCTCTGCACAACTCCTTGGCATCTATTTTAACACACAGGCTGAAAGCCAGAGATGCAGTCCACATTTATCTGCCCCTCCCCCTGGCAAATGCCATATTTACTTCATACCCTGCCCTTGCTCCCCGGTGAGGAACCACAGCTACTAACATCATAAGCACATCAGAAGAGCCCCGCTGGATCAGGCCAATAGTCCATCCAGTCCAGCCTCCCGTCTCACTCAGGGGCCAGCCAGTTCCTCTGGAGGAGGCAGCAACAGGGCACAGAGGCCGAGGCCTTCCCCTGATGTTGCCTCCTGGCTCTGGGATCCAGAGGATTAGTGCCTCTGAATGGGGAGGTTCCCCTCAGCCACCATGGCTAGTAGCTGTTGATAGACTTGTCCTCCATGGATCTAGCTAATCCCCTTTTAAAGCTGTTTATTCCTGTGGCCATCACTCCATCCTCTGCTCTCATCCATGTTTCTCCAGGCCAGTTTGGCTGGAAATCCTGCAGGTTTTTTTGTCATCTACTGGGCATGAAACAGCGGTCACTGGGTGTGTGTGTGTGGGGGGGGAGGTCCCTAGAGGTCCCTTCCAACCCTATGATTCTATGCTTTTATCCTCACAACAAGCCTGTGAGGTAGGTTTGGCTGAGAGTGTACGACTGGCTTGAGGTCACCCAGCAAGCTTCCATGGCAGAGTGGGGATTCGAACCTGGTTTCCCAGATCCTGATCTGCTACCCAAACTACTACACCATGTTGGGCCCTGACCTAGGTAGCTCAGGCTAGCCTGTTCCCATCAGATCTCTGAAGCAAAGCAGGGTCGGCCTTGGCCAGTATCTGGAAGGATGAATACGACGGACCCCTGCTGCTGCTTCTCCTCCTCCGTGAGGCAGATTTCCCCACCAAAGGGCTGTTCCCCACTCTGCCTGAGCAGCCTCTTAGTAGCACACTTGAATGATAGAATTATAACTTTCTGTGTGTCCCACCCTGTGACAGAGACTTTATTTGGATTTTGCCCAGGCCAGAGATTTTTTTTTTGTAACTCAGCAGGAGCCCTCCTATAAATCCCTTGGGAAATGACACTCGACACAAAGTAAAGTTCAAACAAGAATTTGATTTTATTGAACAGGCACAGTTGGGTTAGGAATAGGGCAGGGGAAGAGAAGTTAAATTTGGTTGTTTATACAAATTATATTATTTTGAACAGACAACAGAGTGTAGTTGGAGCTTATATGCTTAGATGCTCAGTTATTAACTATGAGAGGTTTGTTTGCCTTGGAGATTCCTTTCAGAAACAATGTGTCTTACTAAGGTTTCAAAAAACTATCATAGTTTCCTGGAGGTTAGTACTTTCTTCCTGTACTTAAATACTTCCCTTCTGGGATTATAACTTTCCCCTTTATACTCTTGAGGAGTCTAAGGCGGTTTCCCTTTTCACACAAACCAGGAGTCCCTTCTGAGTCGATCCCTCTGAATAACTGGGGAAGAAATCTCCTCCTCCTCCTAGGAGCGATAATCCTTTTTCTGTTTGGCCAGACTGGCAGTTTTCTCTTCTGTCAAACCTAAACTCCAGTTCTAGAGACTGTGAATAAACGGGATTCAGCTAGGGCTGACACACTTAGACATTTAAGTTCTGCTTTCCGAACTTTCCCACAAATATGATGGTAGACAGAGAGTGGAAGGAGTTGTGTCCCTTCGTTTCCCAAGTGAACTTGTCTGTTTCCCTCAGACTGACACGCACACCCCTCCTGACTGGCAGCTGCCAAGCCAAAGTCCAAAGGACGAATGAGACTGACTAGACTTTTTTTTTTTGCAATTTAATTTTTATTAATTTCCCCAAAGCATAACATAGCATAGTATTCTTGGAAAAGCATTTTCATAAATTCAGACCCATTTATAACAAAAGAAAAAACATAACATACACAAACCTTGTTTTAACAATCTATAGATGTTCTGAGTAGAGAAAGATACCAATACTGTGAGCATCGTTACCTTACGAGTTATATAAGAATTATAATTAGTATTCAGAATAATCTTTGCCTCAAAATCACACTGTCAAGCTTTGTTCGCGGCCCTGGAGTCGACCCATCCACGGCTGTGGCATCGGCCCTGGGAGTTGGAGAGGGTTTGTAAAGGAGGAGGTTGTGGAGGGGCCTCAGATACGCAGGGGGCGGGGTTAAGGTCACCTTTGGTCCCGTCTCTCTCTCACTCTTTCTTTCTCTCCGTCTTGTTCCTTCACACTTTCCTCCTTCCTGGCCTGTCTGATTCTCTCTCCTTTTATCCCCCGCTCCCAGTGCTGCCTGTAATCCCCGCCTCCTCTATTCCCGGTCTGCCCCCCCCCAAGCCCGGATGCCTTCCGGTCGTTCTGGGCGTGGTCTTGGGTGTGCTGACGGTGGTCCTGTCGGCCCGGGGGCCGCGCTGCCAGCACCGCGGCTTAATTTCCCCATCGTGCCCGCCCTCAGCCCTCCCCCAGCGGCATCTGCTTTGCCGCTTCCTGGGATGGAGCTCCGAGGGGCCCGACCAAGGGACCATGCTCTGCTGGCGTGGCTGCATCTCCCTGGGTCGGCGATGGTCATTTCTCCTGGTGCTTCCCGTGGCGAGGTGCCATGCTGCGGCCCCGTCGGTCATCATGGCATCATCGCTGCCTCGCTCCTCTGCTGGTCCCCGGGTGAGTGGCATGGTCGGGGCGTCTCTGGGGGGTGGGGTCCTCATCCCGAGGCCGCTGGATTGGGACACACACGCTTGTTTGCGACTAGTCAATGCAGAGGATAAAGTAGTTTAGGCAAGAAGCAGGTTGAGATAAGCAGGATTATGCGGTTGAAGGTCATAGTTTGCTGTAAATTCTAGGAACGGAAGCCATTTCTCCTCAAGGTTGGAGATTTTTGGGAAAAGATCTGATAGTTGTAAGCAATCTGTAATCTTGTCCATAATGAGTGATTCCAGACTTTATTTAACCAGCTGGATCATGTGGGAGCCAGGTTTGATTTCCATGTAGAAGCAATAGACGTTTTTGCAGCTACAAGAAGATTGGAAATCAATTCACATCTGAATTTTGGGATCTTGGTTGGGCCCCAGAGGTCAAGAAAGATCAGTGCTGGATCTAAAGGAATTTCATATCCCATGATTAGGTGTATTTGGGATAATTCCTCTATATGGGTGCACTGCCACCAGCAGTCAGCAAAGGTTCCACTTTCATCACACTGTTTCCAGCACAAAGGGGAATGGGAAGAGGTCATTTTAGGTTGTATCTTTGGAGTAAGATACCAGCGTGTTACAATCTTGTATGATTGTAATTTAGTCGAAATGATAGGGGAGGTTAGCAAAGTGGACCATTGAGTTTCAGAGAATTCAGTTGCACAGTCTTGTTGCCATCGAGTTTGATATCATAGCGGTCTGAGGTCATTTTGGTGAATCAGAAGCTTATAGATTACCGAAATAAGACCTTTGGAGCTGTTATCTTCATTTCCAATGAGTTTCTCGAATGGAATTTTAATGGTTTTCAAGGTATGAGGAAGATTGATGGATTGAGTCATGTGGCCCAGTTGCAGGTAAAAGAACCATGGTATGGTGTGCCCACGTTCGTGTTCTAGATCCGATTTTGGGAGTAAGCCATCTCGGGAGGAGATATCCACAAGACGAAAGATGTTTGCTTGTTTCCAGGTGTTAGCAACCTCTTTGCTCATTCATGGGAGAAACCATTGTTGGTGTAAAAAGGATGAATATGTGGATGTTTTGGGAAGCAGAGGTTTTTTTTGCAAGTGTCCCAGTTTTTCAGGATTGTTTTAAGGAAGGGGTTATGAGGAATTGCGATTGGTCTGTCCCTGGTGCCCATCCTGTATCGATAATGGAGAGAAAAGCGGATTGAGAGACTTCTCCCAATGTAGTTGATCTCCAACATGTAACATTTTGATTATGGGGATCAGCAATGTCGTCTTGCGGTAGGTTATTTCGTAAATTGTGCAAACGCCTCAACAGCTTCACATTTTACAGTTCCGTGACTCTACCTCACACTTTCAACACACGTTTAAGAATTTTGGCATTACATTTTGGAAAAGCGACTCTAACTTTTCACAGCAGTTTCAATAGACGTTGCAGTTTTCAACTATAGGTTAGATAGTAATAGGCTTTGTTATAGGTTACTGTTTTTCTCTGATCTCTTTACTGGGATTTACCGACTAGACTTTTTAAGAATAGTATATTAGAATACTGAATGGATGTCTGCTGACAACATTACATCCAGCTCAAAATATACTGTTAAGTGACCTCCACATGCCCTCTACGCCTGAGAGGAGGTAATTAAGATTCTGTTACTTCCCACAATTAGAAAAAAACACCTTTAGACATTTATCTGCTATTCTGACATATTTACTGCTTTACAACCGTTGAAGAAATGGCATGTTCACCACTGGTGAAAATATTTCAGAATTCAGCATCTGGATTTAAATTTTCAAATTATGACTTTAACTTCAAATTCTAAATTTAACTTGCTATTTAGTTTTTCACTTTGCATCACTTAAACATCATCACGTTACATGTTAATTTCCTGTTAAATCCCTGTCTGTAAGTTTAGAACCTCATCTACCATTCCAATGTATCTGAAAAGGTGTGCCTTGCACGTGAAAGCTCATACCCTGAATAAACCTTTGTTGGTCTTAAAGGTGCCTGGTTGGACTCTGAATTTGTTCTCCACTTTTTAAAACTCTCCTCAGCTGGCACTGACCAATGGGTCAGCAGCCTGTCAATCAAAGTGCTTTCCAGTGAGGCATTAACCCCTCATCTCCCAGCTCTCTGAAATTGATGCACGAGGCATCCTGGTTTTGGAGATCAGTTAGGCTAGCTCATTCCTGTCAGATCTTGGAGGCTAAGCAGGGTCGGCCTTGGCTAGTATTTGGAAGGGCGGCCTCCAAGGAATACCAGGGTTGTGACGCAG